ATTTCTAGCTGTTCTCCGCGAACAGCTGAATAAGGCAGCCTGAGATCGATGAAGAATTCCTTCCTGACAATGACCTCTAATGGGTCACTGACACATATTCCTTAAAAAGCCACAATGGAAAAAGAAAAAAAAAGCGGTCAATAACAAAGAGGAGCACACATTTAAAGGAGCACGAAAGATGTGTTTGAATTTTTAGACTCCTCACCATGAGTTCTTGAGAGGCCGATGCCGGTGAACTGCCAGGTTGTGATTGAGTCTTGCAAAGGAATCATTTTCTCCCAAGAGGTGGACTCGCTGAAACACCAGAAAGCGTCAGATGTCTGAGGACCAGCTCTTTCCATTGGTTTAGGATCTACACTGATCAAAGCCTCTCCTTTTTTTCGTTGTGAAACTTTCGGTTTACTCACCAATTTTGTCTGGGGCAAGCGGGAAGTTTGATGTCTGACCACAGCCAACTTTCGGGGAACTTAGTGCGAGTCACAATTTCATTGCTGTCCATGTAATTCTCATCTTTTGAACCTGTCCGACACAAATGTGGTATCATTGTTACTTTATCCCAACTGCTAGGAATATGACTAGCCACATTTCTTCCGTAGTTCCTGTCCCTTACTCCGAGCAAGTTGAAGTTCTTCATCTTTATTCTCAGCTTTCTGGGTTTCCATCTCCGTGCAGCAGTACAGGAAGGCTTCGATGCAGGCTTGACCATCCACTATGTACTCGCTGCGCTGCTTACAGGTGTAAGACAGTGGGGTGTTCTTCATGCCATCCAAACAACAATCACGTTGCAGCTCATTGTCGTATTTACTAACTGGAGAGAAAGAGTGGTGTAGATGGAGGAATGAAGTCAGAGTTCCAAATTTAGACCTTCAGAAATAGAAACTGCTGAGCCAGACATGTCAAAAATGGAACATGGCTTTTCACTGATGCAAAGCGTTGGAAAGATTACGTGTATTGTGGACGGAAAAATGGTTCTGTATTCAACTGGTTCAGCGTAGGGAGGCTTACCTAAGGTGGTTCTGACTTCCAATATAGTTGTAGCTCTTTTTCTCCTCGCGGGTTTTGGACATTTCGGCTCTGAAAATATACAACAGGGGATAGTATTCCGGTTTTGTGATAAGCGCTGTTGCCTCATAGCATCCAGGCGCCTTGTTTTAATACCTATCTGTATGGAACGTACATGTTCCCTGTGTTTCTGAAGGCTTACTCCAAATATGCAAATGCAAATTGCGTGTGTTATTTTATGGTTTCCGGTATACATTTTTCACCCTGTGATAAACTTATTGTCTATCCAGTGTTAGCGTGGACACGCGGGAAACTTAGACATGTTCATTTCAAGTGACATTGTGATGGAGTGAAACAGACCTTGTCTGTATGGCGTTCCTGCAGCAGTGCTGGACTCAAACACTAGCCCAGCATCATAGAACACGCTCATGCTGTCCTTTCCTCCGCCCGCCGTGCAGCCTGTGTCATACTTCTCTACCACATCCCACACCTGTACAGCAGAGAGGCAAAGAAGAGGTCAGACATTCACGTTTCCAAGTATCTCACATTAATGGAACTATTTACCATTGTGTACCATACGAAAGACTTCAGAGTGAATAGATTTATATTTGACATGATGTATGATTTGAATATATTCGGTTCAGAACATTTGATCATTACTTTTTTCTGGGTGAGGCGGTGCTTGTTGTTTAGGACGTATACACCTTTATCTACCGCCACCAGTCCAACTGTGGCTTCTGGGTCGCCAGTGACTCTCAGACCAAACATCCTGCGAGGCTCATAGGAGGCAGCTGGTCGCGATGCTTCCAGTTTTATCTAAATGTGAGGAAAGTGTCAACGGGGGAGACGTGTTTCTATACGAGACAAATAACACCCATGATGCAGTTCAAGTCTGTGGATCTAATTTGTCAAATGTTCACTTTGATATTCACAACAATGTTTTGTGTGTCTCACCAAGCCCATGCAGGAGACTTTCACATCCACCCAAACAGAGTCTGATACCACCTCCGTGTCACTTAGATGGTAGAAGGCAGTGATGCGGAAGGACGGCAACATCTCTTTAGTAACTGTAATTATCAGGGAAATCAGTACTTGGCCTTTGTTTTCATAACGTCCGGTTTTCACTATTTGGCCTCTGCTGGAGATCTGGGGACACAGGTCGGCACATTAGGGCCCGTCTCAGATCAGAAGAAAGGTGCTGAGTGTCGTAGCAGATGTAAAAATTTAAAAAAAGATTCTCACCAAGTATGTAATGTCTCTTCGTTGGTTATTTGGCTGCCCATTGAGGTTGAGGTTGACTTTCATGTTGTCTCCTAATTTGACCTCGGCTGCGTCCACACCTGCAAAATTGAAAAGTTGCTAAGGTTTTAGAACTTCAAGTATCTGGAGCATGGCCCAAGGCAACAGCACTTTTTTCAGTTACTAACCTATGTGGATAAAATGTAAGCCTTTGTATGGCAGAGCTTCCATCTTTGCTTTTGCTTGCCTCTCAGGTGTAATATTAGGATCCTCAGTTGTTGCCTGTAATTGAAGGGTCACTCACTCAGGAAAACAGCACGAAAAAGTAATAACAGATTACATTTTACAAAGAAAACTCTACTTTTCTCTCTTCCCCTTGTAAAGTTGAAATAAATAGTTTTTTTTAGGAATTCACATCTAACGATTTTTACACCCTGTGACAAAAAAAGGAAATACAGATCATGATGTCATTACAAAGTAATCTCCCAGGCTTTCTCTGAGGATTTCAGCAACTCTTTTATTATTTACTAAACATAAACTTTTAAATCTTTATCAATTTTATTCAAACTGAATGACTGAAACTCCAGAGCCCCCAGACTCATGAGCTGGGTAAAATGGGAATGGAAAAGGGGAAGATGGATAGATTATGCCCTGACTGTTGTACCTCTGTCTTGAAAAACAAGAGAAGCATCATGTCAGCTTGAATATTAAATTGGTTGAGGAACCCTGATTAGTTTTTATTGACTTATCCCTCAAAATGCATTTGTAAGAGTGAGAATTGCTTGTCTACTTGGGGAAAAAACTCTGTTTTCTTATTGTTTTCACATTTCATCCATAGTTTTCTGTTCTGAACTGGGACCAACTCCAGCCCAACATGCGGTACAGATAATGGATGGATAGACGGATGTTTTGAACTACTCACGGTGATTGTCAGTTTGTCCACTACTCCTGTATTAATGGTAAGCCTTGCCATGCCATTGGGCGCAGTGAGGCCCCTCACATCAGGGGGGATCATCACTGGAATACCCTCTGCTGGGGTTCCATCAGGATTCACAACTTCAACCTGAAATTATACACAACCCAAAATAAGGAAAACAGACATTTCATTGAAATACATGTTCTTTGTATTGTGATGGTTTCAAGTCAATTTCTACAAACCCTGCAACACAAATTGTTGCTAAGATAATTTACATGTCTTTTTTCTACATAATAATAAATGTAAACGAATCATCGAAAAATTAAATTTTTAGAAAAAAAATGCATTTTTAAAACATAGCTGACAAATGATGTGTTTGGTACTTTACCACAACATCAAAGGACATTCCTGGCTTGAAATATTTGGGTGTTCTCTTGAAAGTGATGCTGTAGGGTGACGTTACGATCTGGATGCCTCTCAACTCTGCTTCCACCATTTCACTACCTGTGACCGAAACGGGAAATTATGAACACCTGCCCCACGCTTATCTATTTGTGTCGCTCTGAGGATCTCTGTCCTCACATTTGTGCTGTTATTATGCTCCTCTTGTCTCTTTTTTTGCCATTAAGGATCTCAAATGTTGCCTTATTGACACTGAACTTTCTAAACTGCTTTGTCTGTATAATGGACATGTAACCAGTTTTTCTTACCGCTCTCTGTCAACACGCTGACAGACACAAAAATGGATTTCCCCACGAGTTGAAGAATTTGTGGGAAGGTCTGTGTTATCTGCTCCTTCTTAAGGTCAACCTCTCCTTCTCCGTTGCGAATCTGATGGAATATGACGATGAAAAATCAGCCCGCCTGTACATTTCCATCCTTAAAACTGAAAACATGACATGCAACAGGACAAGGTTAAAGGTCTGTGTTCTCACTTGCACTCTTGAAAGCGAGCCTGGGAGGCCCTTCTTCTGACCATCGTCTATAATTCCAAAGACGACATAGGCAGTTCCATCCACGTCTTTTCCAAACAGATAGCTGTAACAAAAAAATGTTGAAGCCTAACGGTCCAAAGAAACAGGACAAGTTGACGAGGAGAGTCACTCCGTAACATGAACAAATGTAAAACAGATTTAAACAGCTTTTATTTAGTCTCCCAGTTACTGTAGCCAATAGCTCTGATCTATGATTGCACAAATAAAAAGCTTTCACGTACGTAGCTCGGATTTTGATGGTGAGCAGGTCACTGTCCACATAGAAGAACGGTATAACAGGCGAGAGTTTAACTTCAAAACTGGGAAGCACTGATGAAAAACAAAATTTTAGGAGCATTTTAAGAGAATCAGTCATGTGAGAAGTAACTGAATGGCATCCAGGTCTGCTGTGCTGATTTTGGAAGACTTACCATATTCTTTGACCTCAAACTCTGCATGATAGCTCTGTTGTGGGTTACTGTTGAACCTTGCCACCACTTTCCACAATCCAGGGCTACACAAAGTGAGACACAGGACCGCAGAACTCAGAATTCAAACAATAATATATGTGTTTTTTTATACCACAGGCTTGAGATCACACTGGATTCTGACTTTTGAGGAACTGTTCATCTATTGAATAAATGTGCTTTATCAATTTATAATCTGTGTGAAATGAGTATTCATGAATGAAGTAAATATTGACTGAAAACAATCAAAAATACGTAAAGAAAAATACCCACCTTACAATATCAGCAAGCTGGTAATCTCCAGTATGAATACCTGAATTTAGAGCCACTGGATCAAGTGCTACGACGATATCCTCAGGAGTCTGAAAAAAAATCACAGGATATCAGGATTTTAGCCAAAGTGAGACCTGTAAATCACCTACCAATAATTCTTGATGGAAGCGTTTAGGTTTGCTATTGATTTGTCCTCCCAGTCACAACTGATTAGTGCATGGGACTGTGGTAAGCGGCACAATTAATGGCTAGTAGGTCAATTAATTCAGGTCAGGGCGTCAGTAACACAGTTCAATGGTATACTGATTATCTAATCAAATCTAAATCAAACGTAATGTTGGAAAGTTTCACTATTCCCAGGACTTAGGGTTAGGGTTAGGGTTAGGGTTAACAAAGCTACAGAATTGTCAACTTCAGATTAACTCAAATGAATATGCTCCACAGCAGCCATCTTGGAAAAAGTTTAACAAATCATTTTTCTTTTTTTTAAGAACCTGGATAAACTGATATTGATTGGCATTGATTGCAGATGATATGACTAAATTTTCCGAAAACTAGCCATAGAAACTTGTGACATGAAGACTGACTCCAAAAGAAATCACATGCAAATGACTGTTGTTGCACTGTTGTACACAAGGTTAGTCAACTTAATCAAGTCTCTGCTTATAAAAAAATTAAACACAATACCACAATGTCAATGGAGATAGTGGCATCAACTTGATTTGCAGCATCCCTTTCCACCGGCTCCATTCCTGGTGTAAGTCCAAAGATCCTGAAAAGAACTGGCAGAAAGGTCAAAAGTTAAGTAGATTCTCAGAGCGATATATGGATTTTTTATCTTTCCACTTTGAGCCATGACTGCAAAGTTTGTCTTTGACTGGAGTGCTTAATTTCAATCCACATCAATCACATAAAAAAAAGCATTTTCTGTCTTTCTTGTGTCCGTGTATACTATCGAGGGGTACAAAGATCAAATTACTTATTTGGAGAGCTTTAGCCTTTATTCAAGATTAGACTATCATCAAACATCTTTTATTAGATTTAATAAATTTATTTGATTATTTACTAGAAACCGGTAGAATAAAGTCTAACACAAGATTATGTTGGCAGCAAGAATAAAATAGTAGTATCTTCAAAAATGGGCTTTATGAATGAGGCACTGGACATCTCTGCTTCTGCTCATATGATTGTTGTTGTAAGTCTTGCACTGTATATTTTAAATCTGAATGAAAAAACTGAGTGAAACAATCAAATTTAGCTACTGTTCTTACCTTTGCTGTCGGGGGTGTAGATGGTCTTGTCAGTCTGTATGAAGATATAACCAGACTGGAAGGACACCAAGACAACTTTCTCCAGCTCACGAGTGGGGAAAATGGCTCGAAGATAAACGTACTGCTTTAAATTTGGATCCCTGTTGAATTCTCCAGGTGGGATCTGAAACCAGAAGAGAGAGGTGAGTTGTGTGACGGGAAAAGGAGCTTATCAATACGATTTCTGACAGGATGTTTTCAGATGCGGCAAAGGGAACTGCGTTGCGAGTATTTCACTGACGGTTATTTTCCCGAGCTGCTGGTAGTGGTTGCCATTATTGAGCGTCACAGATGTGGTTGCCAGCTTTTTAGATTTTGTTGGATGGTTCATCACGTTGATTGTGACTTGAGTGTCTTGTGTGCACTCTTGACACTCGACAAAGATGTTTTCTGCTGTCCCCACTCGAAGCAAGTTGGGAGCAGACATCACATATCTGTAGGACGGAAGGTGAGGGTATCATGGCATGAGACTGAATAAAAAAAGTATCAAATTAAGGAATAAAAATGGAAGAGTGGATTCAGTACCAAACTTAAATCAGATACTACAGAAAGTTCATAATTAACCTTTATAAAATTCGCTTGACACAATGTATGATCACATTATGAATAATTACTCCAAAAAATGTCAAGATCATCACTTCAACATCCTCAACCTTTTAGGTAATTATATAATATCACATATATATATATATATATTTTTTTTCTTTCTTTGAAGAAAATGTCTGGGTTTCCTGTTGTTCTCTGAGCCAAAGTCTCTAAAGTCCTTGATGAAGTCCTTGATGAAGATCCAACGATGGATCAATAAATGTTTCATCATGACTCTTGGCAGTTCGCTTTGCACCACTTTGCAAATAGGTTTAAGGTTAAAAAATTCCATAAACAAGACCTCTAAAATTGTTTTTAAGAATCCCACCAGACAGGTTAGAAAAAAATCCATTTACAAATAGATAGGACTTGTTTTTTAAAGTATTTTGAGGAAGACCGCTCGCCAACAAACACCTTTAAATGAAATTTGAAAGAAATTTTATGACTCAATAGAAATATGTGCACGTTCAGTTGGACTACTTACCTATTAGCTCCATCAGCAAAATAAATCATGGAGGCAAAGGCCAGAGAGGCCAGCAGCAGCAGAGCACTCCTCATCACCCAACCTGATGGTGGTCTGCTGTCAGAGTAGGCTGCAACTGAGCAGCATCCTCCTTTTATTCACCGATTTCCTACCTCCTCCTTTGACCTAAGTACTGTTTTCTCTACAAATGAGTGCATCTGTATTTCAGAAACTGTAAACACTCCCAATTTCCCGTAGCCGGTTGAGAAACTGCACTGTCCACACAAATCATATCTCCCCTCTGAGCGAAAGGATAAACATTGAAATCAATACGTTCTGGCATCAAATCTGGAGGTATAAAGTACACATTTATATAATCAGTTTGGTGTAAAATCATAGGAAAACTTTCCACTGTTCTGAAATATTCTTTTTAATTGTGAATTGCTTCTGCACTCCTTGAGTATAAGAATTTGAGCAACTTATAGCTGTTAGTTTTCCTCATGATGGGTCAATAAACAGCATCAAAGACTGAGTGACCACGCACAAGCAGTGTGATGAAAGTCCTGAATATATTCCAATATTGGCAGGAGTTTCGAAGTTATGCAATAATTGAATTCCCAGCAGCAACCACCTGATTTAAACAAAGCTGTGTGATTTGTCTATTCTGAATCTTTCTTTTTCCCCCTACTTCGCTCTCCATAGAATGGAAGTATTTTCCCACTGTCTGTTGACAGTTCATACTTCATGTAAAAATAATACCTATTTACACATAACATGACATTCAGCGTTATTACAATAGGTCGGCTTCATTTTTCTCCCCTGTTATCAAACACATCGCCACTTTTTTTTTACATTAATGATCTGTCCCATCTCAGCTGACAGTCTTCTTTGACCAATGTTTAACAGGGGTCCACATTTCCACTTTCAGAATTCAGTAAGGATGACGACTATGTCATGTTTGAGCTATCTTTGAGAGTTCTTGTGATGATTTTAGGTGTGGAGAATGGCATAGTTGAGCATGGAGTACACATCATGATCATTCTGATACAGACTACTACTTTTACATTGGCTTATAGAAACCACCATCCACAAACTTGCTGCAGACGTGAATGTTCATTTTTAGTTCTTTCTGAACATGAAAATGTCCAACTGGCTCATCTCCACAAATCAGACATGAATGCAATGTAGCCACACGGCAGCACTGAAAGAAGCACAAACCTGTCATGTTCTTTTTCTATGCGATAATTTAGCATGCAAATTCATGGTATCAACATTGGCTTCATATTTTTCCTCTTGTGCTATTAATAGACATTCATAGATTTTTTCCAATAACAATAAAAAATAACTACTCATTTGTCACGCAAAAACATTGTCTTTAAATTACAATTGTGCTCAAAAGTTAGTGCCTTTGCTCTGCAGAGCTGGACTTGTGTTATGTGCACAAGAACAAAGTTTGTTTAAGGAGTCAAGAGTGAAAGTATGCCAGACGACAGACGCGCCGTTGTCCGCTGGTGACCAACGGCCTTCACTCAAGGTCTGTTTCCTTCAATGATTAAACCGAGTCTGTCCTGATGTTGGGCTGATTGTACTTTTTTTGGTTTTCCAGAATAAAGGCACCGTTGCGAATAATTCAAGCGATGTGATATGTGACAAGTTCAAACACACACACAAACATACACAAAAAAAAACAATGACACTTATTTTTTGACACTTTCATTTTAAAGACAGAGAGAGGGAGAGGGGGGATAGGGGTGTGGGGAGGATTTAAAAAGGCCAAAAGATAGGAACAGCATTTGATTGGCGCGCGGAGAACACGTGACCTGCTCCATTTCCACCCAGCGGACAGGTAAGCCCGGCTGGAGAGAGTTTCAGGTATGCTGCTGGTGAGACGACACCTGGTGGATGTATCAGAAGTGTTTCGTGCTCCCTGGACGTCGCTTCCCACGGAGGGAAACGTCAACGAGTGCCGTCTCAACTGGACCCCCCCACCCCCCACACACACACACACACACCTACAGGTAATTACCGGAGGTCGCCATCCCGTCCCGGGGACAAACAACCCGCACCTGGTCAGGAACGTGTCGTGCACCTGAACCGGAGCGGTTCCTCCTGTCATTTCGCTCGCCGGTTGCATTTCAACTGAAAACACACACCTGTGGAACAGGTGTGGCAGGATCTGCCGCATTCCGCCGCGCGTGGACACACACGCATCCGTCCCAGTGCTCTGTGAAACCATTGTAATTGTTTATGTGAGCGTGCAAACGTTCTTGTTGGATTTCCTCTTTGAGGTAACGCATCTCTTTCATATCAGAAAAAGTTCACCATGTTTGTCTGGCATTTGTATGTATGTGCTCGCTTCTTTTAAATAAAAGAGTTAGAGTAGAGTTGGAGGAAATGGGACAAGTTATTTGACTTTGTCTATATCCAGAATAGTTTCTAACCAAATGATTGCATGGATAACATCATTAGACACAGTTGTTTAGTTGGCTTGTTTCAAACGTTTGATAGCCTTTTTTTTTTTTTCAAGAAAAAGAAAGAAAAGCCTTGCATTCAGGTTTCAGGTATATTTTTTGAATGGTTCAAATATTTGATATTGTTTCAGTACTTGTTAAATTTCTCAGAACATTTCAGCTGTTATTTTTTTTTAAATTGGTTGATCTTGTCGTGAAACATCTTAAAGTTAAAATCTTCTTGAACTCTTCCTTGCCACCATTGAGACTGTAAAAGCCTTTAAGACTAATAATCCAATGTAAACGCTGCACTGTTGATACTTTACCTTGTGAGCTCACATAACCTTTGAGTGTTGTGTCATACAAGTGAAAAAGGTCTGCGCTTGTGTCCATGCTTTCCTTTTGTATTATTTTTCTGTTGTAATTCTGAAGGGTTGGGGTTAGGGATTTTAGTTTTGTTGTTCCTTAAGTGTGAGCATTTTTGTTTCAGCCAAGTCATGGGAAATATGAACTGGTTAAGCAAAAAAGCCGATAAGATCTTTCTCCTGCTCCTGCAGGCCTAAAAAAAAAGCACTTCCTGGTGGTTTTTACATTTTAAAGCTGCGCATATCATCCGTCTGCATGCTTTTCAATAGGTTCCCCACACAAAGAAAATAAATGCCAACTTGTATTCTAGCAATAATCTTTTTTTTTTCTTTCATTTTAAAAATATTGGGCAAAACCTTTCTGCTATTCCTGCCACAGTCTTCTCTGATAATTAGAGGATATATCAACATTGAGCTTTTATCTCTCTTTTGCTTCGAGAATTAATTAATTATTCTTTTCTATTTTCTTTTCAGACACTCCACTATTTGTGAGACTGATGCTGTGTTGATCCAAATGTAAGAGCACTGGCTTGACTGATTGTCTCTCGCAGGTAAATGCAGCCTGGCGGTCTGAATATGTGTGTGCAGCCTCTCTGCATGGAAGCTTTACACACAGAGGTCTGAATATAATGTTTTTTTTCTGCCATAATCAGAAATATTTCACACACTTTTATTTGTTGGCCACTCCAGGTTGTAAAAGGGATGTTGTTGTTCTGGAAAAGATTAAATTGGGATTTTAAAGGTGTGTACTCTTAGCTTCAAAACACAAAAAAAATGTTTCCAGTCTGTCACAGCAAACTGTCCCACACAGCCTGAGGTCATCCTGAATGATCTCACAGTCAAAATGTCTGGGCTTTAATGACTGTTGGCCACTCGCTCTGACACCGCTTTATCATGAGGATCTGCTTCTGATCCACACCAGCCAACTTAGAGGCTGATGGATCCACAGAAGACGCCACAGTCGTGACCCTCTCTACATCACCGACCCATTATGAACGCACGGGTGTCACTTTTACATAAGCACTCAACACTGATAATGCCCGTCAGACTGGTCAGTAAACAGTCGGGCTTATGCTTCTCACTAACCATGTGTTACAGGCTTAAGGGCTTCTAGACGTGCTGCTGTCAGAGAGAAAGAGCTGGCCAACCTAACACTGGCTTTACCCACTTCTGTGTGCTCGGCTGTTTACTTCACACACTGATGATGTCTTGATTTGCAAATGTCGAACTAGGGGGAGTTTTGACATCCTCTCATGGCTAAAAATGTTTTCGTGTATACTTACATTTGCAGATTCGGATTTAAAAAGTATTAAAATGAATATGTACTATTCTGCTTACCCGGCTTTATTCACTTGGTTGGTCCCTGGAACGAGGGCCATCTTTGAACAGAACACGCACGTTTACTGACTGGCTTTGACCTCTGACCTGTGATGTATTTGCCTCTCCAGCTGCCTGTTACCATGGTGATTCAGGCATTGAATCCACCTGCGGTGTGTGCAGTTTTCTACACCGGACTCTCCCTGCTCACCTTGGCCGTGTTGCTGATGCTATGCGTCATCCGGAAGAAGAGGAGGATGGAAGGAACGTACAGGCCCAGTTCGGAGGAGACACGGCAGAAAACGGCCGGATCGGAAAAGCCCGGCCTGCCGCTACCGCTGCCCAAAGAAGAGCGCCTCATATGAGCGGCTGCCGGGCGAACCTGCGGACTGGTTAAAACGCCCGTTACGCTTCACGGGGATCACATGTTTAATTTCTGCCACAGGAAATTTAGATTCTACAAAACCATGTTTCTGAGGTGACTTTCTGTAGATATCGAGTGAGAAAAAACTGATGGGAAATATGATTAATTCAACCACTGATGTTTTACCTGTACAGGACACTCCTTTTTTTTTTTCTGTCACGGGAAACATGAACTTGAAAGTATTTTTGTATTTGTACAAACGTTAGCGTATCTATTTTTGTTGTGTTTTGTTATTTAACCTATCCAATGTATTTTACACCTTTTCGTCAACTATGAAGGAAGTTCATGGGGCACTTCATTTTTATTGTGAATTTCTGAGAGGCTCAGCTATGTATATATAAAAAAAAAACAACATAAGCATGTCTATATGGTACACATAGCCTGCTGCGAATAAAACAATGTGCGAACAAAGTGCCGCTGCACTCTTTCTTTTAAGACTTGAAGTTGAGGCAGGAAGAAGGTCTGTTTGCGAAACAAAGTTTATTCAAGTTATTTGTTCAGTTTCTGACAAAAGTGCAACAGAAAAAAAAAGTATCGGTCAGAATGTGTCAGTTTGTGCGGAAAGTAATTGGTGGACAGTGTATCGCCCACGCGTTCCTACCTGCCGGGGAAAATATCTGAATGATGACAAATGAACTGCAGAGTAGAAAATTAAGGAAATAAAAACAAATTTAAATAAATGTAATATTTGTCTGAATGCGTTTTAAGTTAAGGAATTATGAAGATGATGAAGACCCTGAGACCCATGGGCCAGTCTCTACCATTTGTTTAAACTTCAAATCTTTTCTTCAGTTCGGAGACTTTTACAGGGGGCCTGTCCTCCTCATCGGGCGCTTCTGGGTTTTTATCTGTTTCCGAGTCACATGACGAGCGTGTCTGATTGTTCTCCCTGCTTCGAAATGTTAGCTCAGCCGAAGCTTTGGAGGCACTTCTCACCTGGAAGCTTTGGCTGGAGGCCTGACACTGGAGGCGTGCCAGAGGAGATTTCACTCTGGGAGGAGAGGAGGAGCTCGGTTGTACCTGTTGCTCATCTTGCTCTGCTGCTCTTTCACAGTTTTTCTCTTGGTCCGCTTGAGGTTGAAGGTCATCAGTAGGACTTTCAGGCCCAGGACTGACTCTGATTTCTCCTATATTTAGCTGCTTCACTTCAGAATTGATGTGGTGGGGATCTGGTTTTCTAAATTTGTTTAAAGATTCTGTCACTCCTTTACTTTTCTCCTCTTTGGCCAATATTACCTCCTCTCTTGTCGCACTTTCTTGCATATCTTCTGTTGTCTGTATCTCTCGTCCTGCAGTCGGCTCCTCGTCCTGACTTTCTTCATCTTGGTTTTCTTTCAACCCTGTCTCCTCTCTCCCCTCATCCATTTCATTCACAGGTTCCCCCCCTAAATTAACTTCCTTTTCCAGATCTTCCGTCTCTCTGTCCTCTTCAAACGGTACTTCTTTAAAGTTGCATCTGTCGCCCGTTTCCTCTGCTTCCTGTCTTCCATTTATTGCCACATTCACTTCTCTCTGTCTCTCTCTGTCGGCCGACTGTCCCAGTTTTGGCTCCTCCACATCAGATGTTACTTGCAGACCGTGTGTCCCCTCCTCCTCTTGCAGATTAGCGTGCAGACCCGTCCAATCGGAGTCCTCGGTCAGGTCTGACAGCTCCTCTGTGGTGTCCACGTTCCAGCTGTGCAGGCTGCCGCTGCCGCTGATGGACAGGAGCAGACTCTCCTGGCTGGGGTTGCCTGGAGCATACTTAAAAAAACAGAAGTTCCACTTAAGTGTATACGCACCTTCTATGTTTGAATAATTTAAGTGATATAGTCACATTTCCATTATGTCTTACCTTGGTGAAATAGTCATGGCTGTCTGGTCCAAAAAGGTCCAGGCTCCGAGTGCCATACAGCAGTCCCCGTTCGTGGGAGCTACGAGAGCTGAGCGTGTCAAAGATCTCCCCAAGAAGGTCCATTTCCTCCTGGTCACACAGCGGCGAATCGTCCTCCTCGTCTCCGTCCTTCTGGAGCTCAGGGTTCGGCTCGGCAGCGTGCCCAGACACAGCCCTGCCACCAAACATGTCAGACCCAGCAACATGAGCAAAAGAACGCTAGATTTACTTGTCTCCATCTTTTTTCCAATGCATTCCACCTACAATGGTGGAACAATTGATACAATTCCCATACAATTTATGAAAAGCAAGCAATGAGGATTTTAGCATAGAGGTTTGAAATTGCAACTTTAAGATCAAATCTCAACATAAAAACTGTGGGAAGGAATCTGAATACACCGTATTAATTGTTTGCAAATGCATTAAAATTGTTGTGGTGTAAAAAATACAAAAATAGATTGAGGACAAGCAAATCATTCAAAGAAAGATTACTTGAAAGCATGAAGTATATAAACATTTCCAATGCTGCTCACCTGTCCCATGGATCTTCAGAGTCGTTTGTGTATTCGTGGTCTCCGAGTTTCTTAACAGGTCGACGAGGTCGTGACTAAAGGGAGGAACCGGTAACAAAATCGAGTAATTGCAGCGAAACAAGAGAGGCAGCAAGTGTCACAACCCTTAAAGGTGTCAGATTATGAGATATGTAAGATTGGAGCAAAATTAGGATCTAAGAGAGAAGGTTTAGGCAATCATAAGTGTACGTTTTGAATGTTTAGTCAGATCTTTCAAATAAATGAGTTTTCATGATAGAAAATGTAGGATCGCACCATCCCAAAATGTTGCGTGATGGGAAGGCGGTTCTGCAAACTGTCGGATTTGACTCGACGATGCGATACTGATCCACCTCTGTGAGGACCGTGGTCTGCATTCTGGGCCAAAGTATCACGCAAAAAAATGGTGTTAAAAACCGCTGGAGAATTGGTGTCGGTCAAAGCTTTTGTCCACACGAATGTGAGCCTACCTTGTTGGTCAGAAAGTTTTTGAAGCCGGATTTGTTCAGTCCTTTGGCCTTTGAAGACACATGAACTTATCAGTGACGACATCCCAGTAGTGCAACACAGGGCTCCCCTCATCCCAGCAACTGTCTGTACCCACCTTCATGTTCGCTTTGGTCTTCATATTATGGATCAGAGCCCCACCCCCTTTCTGCCAAAAGTACAGTAGCATTAGGGTTTTCAGGAAGTTGACAAATTGAAAAAAATCGATTCAGTGACAGAAATAAACTTACCTTTAAATTACCAACTAACTGTTGGTACGATTTGCCTTTTCCTATGAAGACGGATGAAAAATAAAACATTTGTCTGCACACACACACACGCACACAAAAACACAAATACAAACACACACACATATGTGGATGCAAACCTGCTGTTTCTGCCGAAGTTATTTCTTCCTCAAAGAGGTCATCTGGTTCCTTCCCTTTATTCAGAATATCCAGTCGGCTATCAATAAACTTAAACACAGTAAAAAAAAAAAAAAAGTTGATTTTTGAAAACCTATTTAAAGGTTCATGTTTTTTTTACAAACAACATTTCACAAGAGGCTTCAACTCTTCTCTCCACCCAGCAAGAGCTTCCCCATTGTGGTGTTACACGGTGTGTCCAGCAGAGGGCAGCACGTACCTGTTTGAAGAACTGCAAATGGATTGCACTCTGTAAGAACTTCTTCACAGAGGGAGACTTGTGATCTAAAAACAGCTCTTCGCAGAAATATATTTCACCATCCTGCAGAGAGAGTTAAATATAGAATGACAGCAGAAGTTCAACGCTTTGGTTTTAAGCCTTCAAATCGATTGTCGTGCTTGTGACCCACCTGGTGGCCCTGCAGCGCATCCCTGTAGCCTCCGAACAGCAGAGCCTGAGCTTTCAGGAAGGCCCGAGAGACGCCGCAGCCAGGCGACACTGCCTGGCGCTTCAAACACACCTTCAGCCCCGACATCTGGACACACGTTTACGTTCCACATGAATCCACTCAGCTGGAGCCGCTCCGAAATCAGAGTGAGACCCATCATTAAAGCCAGAGGGGAAAAACGGTATGCAAATACTCTCATTACTCTAATTCGTCATAACTGGTGTCATAACTTATCGTTTAGTGTGTCATTCACTACTGCTTCCCTGCACATAATGCAATTGCACGCTTTTTTTCATGTCTATTTAAATGTCTTCCTTTTTCATACTTCAGTCACATAAAGCGTATTTTTACCACGTCTGAAGGTATCCGCTTCAGGTCATCGAAGGGGGTTTCCAGAGTGTTTGTATCCACATTCAGAATTACAACCTCCTCAAGCCCACGGCTCCTCACCCTCTAGTTGGTAAACACAACAGTATTTGGTAAAAAAAAAAAAAAAATTCATTATCACTGGCGGCACCTGAGCGTATGAATGAGTAAATAATTATTTACCTCAGATAGGCTAGTGTGGACCCCGATCAGATAAGGCATGGGTGCACTGGAACCACAGCAAGAAAACATAAAAATATATAGATGGGCAGGTAGAAGATCGATCAACTGATCGATTTAATGGCATCTCACCAGCAGTAATCCAGTAAGTGTGGTGGCAGAACGGGTATGAAGATGTGTTGCCAGTGCATTGGGTACAACACAGCACTCAGCGCATGCACGCATGATGTCAGCTACACAGACAAAATGGAGAGTGGTTTCAACACATGACGGACACACGAGCATGCCAATGTGGTCAAACCCCAATCACACAATCAAAGTCAAAGGCGCTCCGGGCAGACAATGAAGCGGTTACACTCGTCGTTGGGGTTAGGTGAAAGTTGATGGGTGAGTGCATGTTCTGTGAAATAATCAGTGAAGCTAGAAGTCCAAACAATGAGCGTGCTTTTTCCACCTCGATGTGTGCTTTGTAATGAAAATAACAGAAAAACAAGATGGGTCTTACAGTGCTCAGTTTGCTTGCAAAGATGAGGATGCGTCTCTCGAACAGCATGCTGGCATAGAGCTGAAGAAGGTTTCCAACATCTACCGCCACAATCAGCTCAGTCAAGTTCCTCTGGTGAACCCACAGATAAATGGTCATTCAATCTGAGCGGGCAAGACGCTGCCCTGACATATCTCATCGGCTTTGCACAACAGGGGAAATATACGAAGAGTTCACTGTAACCGAGCATACTCACATTTTCCGGGATGGAAGGGAGACTTCTGGGATCTGGAGCCATGAAATATGGAACCTGTCCGCACAATTAAAATCAAACATTACAGTTTGTTCTTTCTTTATTTCCAGGATGTTCCAGGACCACAGTGAGGGATTTCATTTCAAAATATGTTGTGCTTTGAACAATCCTGCTATTAAACGCAAACATATACATGAGCAAGCTTCTCATTGAATGATAATAACATAGAAATACACTGTAAATGATTATAATATATAAAAATATTGCTAATAACCTATCAGAACATTGCAACACTGAATAAGATTGTTACAATGGTTTCATTTTTAAATTAAATGTATTTAATATATATAAAAACTTGCAGCTTTAACCATCTTTGTTTTGAGTCAGGGAAACAATTATTTCATCTTGTTAGTCATGTCAAGTATCAAATATCGATTTTTGACAATTGTTTTGAAAGAGCCTTTGAAACTGTTAGTTCCAGCTAGTAAGTGCAAATTGCATTGAGACGGCATAAACATTTATCCGGGTGGAGGGGTGAGTGACAACATTTTTAGTGCACAGCATCAGCCACCAAGCGCACACAGCCAGGGTTTTCCAGCAGGAGTGAGTCTGTTTCTGCTTAGCTGCAATTTCAGACCGCATGAGCTCCCGTGGAACTCACCCCCTCTTGTCCCCCCGGGTGTCCAGCAGGTTGGGACACCTGTGCACTGACCAACAGCTGCCCTCCCTCAGAAGGAAACACAACACGCAATACATTGACAGGATAGATACGAAGTCAAGAGCAACGTGTGCCATGTTGGTAAATCAAAGGTTTACCATCTGGAGAGTGACCGATCCAGCTGCCAGGGGCATGGTCTGTTTGTAGAGTACAGCGAGCAGTGCTTTCATTTCATTGGCCTGTAGAGGAGATACAAGGGTTTGTTTTGTGACGTTCTTATAAATGTCTTTGAATTACAGAGAGTAAAACTTTGGCCCTAGCGTCTGACCTGTCCTTTGGAGAGGTAATCAGCCAGGTTGTTGAGAAGCTTGTAAAAGACTTCGAACCACGGTAGATAACTGCAATCAACACGTGTGAATATTTGATCGATTCACAGAAAGAGGCGCAGATGCAAAAAGCACACGGCTCTACCTGAGGATGCAAAGGCAGGTGTTTGTGCCGCTGTTGAGACGGCAGAAGCCGAAGCGCTGGCATCCCTCTAGGTCGGTCAGTACAAAAGTAAAGTGCTGAACGGGGACTCCATCCCTCAGCCTCCATGCATAGGTACAGGGACGAGTGGTCGTGTGAAAAAACAAACCGACTCAAGATACAACCTGCATTGGAGTCAGACTGCCACCATTTACAAGGTCCAACTCACCTGTGAATGTCATACGGGAAGCAGAACTTGGGCAGTGTTTGACGGGACTCCTGGAAAATAGTGTAGTACAACATTTTAAAAGGCAGAAAGAGCCATGCCAAATGTTTTCTGAGGCTTTGGCCTGACAGTTTTTCAAAGAAGAACTCCTGTTTCCTCGGGCTCTTAAGATCCTTTGTGTTACGGACACAGATCCTATGAAATGATTATTGATGTTTTCATCAACCAGTTTCATTGGCTACTGAAAACATGAACCAATGACAATTTTGATGGTGACAGAAAAATAGCGGTAATATGAAAATGGGACTGAACAAAAACAAAAAGGCCGAATGGTGGTTAGAACGTGTTCTGGAGGATTCTGTTGTGAACAGACGTGACAGTAGGGGTTTCTGTATGAAACAAAAAAAATGCACCATGGTTCAGTCTGCACAGTCTACTCAACACTGTATAGCAACTACAAAAAAATACCCCTAACTTTATGGGACATGATCTCAACTCAAAAAGTGGCCCATGGTCACATGAGTCCATGTTTCACCAGGCTTTAGAAAGCAAATTAAATCTGGTTCAAAGTACTAAGGTGATCAATACATATATATATAAGACGTTGCCTATGATAGTATCTGGGTGCTTATGTGTCCCTGATCATAATGACTAGTGCATGCATGATGGATCCAGAGACATAAATTGGAATTTTACAGTAGCACATGGTAGTTCCCGGCGTTTGTATCAGGACAATGCCAGATCTCACTCTCAAAGAATAAACACAGCAGGGCCCCTTAGAGACAGTGTGTGTGTGTGTGTGTGAGTGCTTAGCCGGCCGGCCTGAATACATAAAAAATGTATGATGCGTCATGAGGAGGAGAATCAGAAGACAACAACCACGGGCTGTTGAGCAAGTGAAATCTTGTGTTCGCTGACAATAGACACAGATTCTTCTTGTAAAAGGAAAACAATGAACGTCCTCAGTTCTCCAACAATTGACAAATGTCATTTTAAGGAGGTTAAGGTAAGTTTCTCATTCTTCCATGTTCTTTTTAGTATTCTGGTGTCAAACTCTTGAATTTTACATATTTACTAAATACAGTCAAGCCGCAACAACAAACACAAAATAAAAAGGTCAGTTAGATAATTAGTAAAATACACTAGCGTGATTAAGATTTTAAATTCAAATAAAGCTACATGTTCCAAAGAGCAGATGTGGGTACCTCATCATTAAAGTCCTCTGGAAACTGAAACATCACTCCAGGATCTATAGAAAAAAGAAGAAGAATTCAACACACCAAAGCTAAAGCCTTGATACATCTTAGCAATGAATCTGAAGACTTCCTGAATGTCTTCTTCTCCAAGCAAATAATAGAGAAGGTGTTTAAAATCATATGTATTTGTGTTAGTTTATTTTCGACTTTTTCTATGTTTTCCACCATGTCATGCCCCCATTGAGTACTTATGCCACAAGAGAAGCTCTGTGTGGTTTTTAGTGATCACGTGACAGGAAGTATGAGCAACTCCCAGCACATCAGAAACATTCAACTTAAATGCGTGATGTAAATTGCAAATTCTGGTCCTAACAGTGTAATCTGTGATGTGTAGAGAAATGTGGTTGATGCAATGCACATTTTATGGTGTCACGTTGACACAATGCAAGAAAAAGGTGGAAAGCGGAATGAGAAAATATTGCGACAACTCTTTCTTAGCTGCTGACAAAAATTTAACCAGTTTGGAGATGATAAACTTCTAATGCTTTTTGAAAAGAGAAGCCTCCACTCATTTTTCCAAATGCTGCCTGGCTTCAGTCTGCAGCGTTTAGATAGCAGAGCGGTCTCACCTTTGTCTCTGGCCACAGGACATGTCGCTTCAAAGAACCAGTTGAAAGTTCGCTCAGGGTTTTGTCTGCATGGAAAGAGATTCAGAACTATAGCACGATATTATTCTTTGAATGCGTCATGTTAAACAGTCCAGGTTATCTGCCCAACATTTAGCATATTTCCGATCAGGGTCAGAAACATCTGGAGGGGGCTATCAACAGTAAGAATATACTGATGTGTGAGTTTAATTCTTATCTTTAAATACTTGGCGGTACTCAGAAATATTAACTGGTTGAATTATGTTTTGGGGATAGGGTTAATTCTTTGTTTGTGCTCATTGTCTGTAATTCAAAATCTTAAAAATAAACTGCAACACCAACTAAAGCTTATGTGAAAGGTCTCCACTCCCAACAAGGGCAGAAGGCTCTAATGAATCTGCTCCGGATTACTTTCCACCCGCTTTGTGAGAGATTTGTGTTACGTCCGCAAGAGGATTTCAGTTTTAAAGGGTTAAACGTTGCTTCACATCTGCCCAGGAGTGGTCAGTCAGTGGTCTCGCATGGACATTGAGCCAATGTCAACTCACAGTTAGATAACAAATGTGAAAATTAGCTGTGAGTTCCACCAGAAGCAGGCAGTTGATCCCACAGATGAGTACGACTTACAATAAAGCTGTCAAATATGTTAAATGGCAGCTGTGATCCGCTTTAAATAGGAAGAAGTCCACTTTTATGTGTGTGGCAAAGTACACAGGCCGCACGGTTGCTACAGGAAACTTCCTGTGCAACTGTGAGAGGAAGTAATAAAAACCACAAGAGCTGACTGACAGGAGCCGTGATGATGGAGGTCGACAAACTCGAATCAAACGATCCTCTTACTTCAATCTGGAGCCCATCCTGTCGGACTGCCACTGCTTCCATGTGTTTGTGGCGGATGGTGAGAGGTCTTCAGCAGGCCCTTCCGCTGACAGCCATGCCTCTGATGAGGCCGTTCCAGACGAAGGCAGACGACAACAGCAGCAGCAGCAGCAGCAGCAACGGTCTGCAAAGTCAGCGCTGGAGTGGCAGAACACTTCCTCATCTATGTCAATAAGTGTGTGTCAGGGAGTATATGACGTCTATGCGCGCATGTTCTTTGCTTTGCTTTGCTTTTCCTTTCTTTTCCCTGCTGATGCTTTCAGGCGTCAAGTGGAAATTATTTAATAAAAATGTAGTTTTCATTCAAGTTCCCAAACTAAACAGCACTTTTGAACAGTGAGCTTTGACGGCTTGCTTTGACAATCTCGCTTTCCTCTTCATTCTTTGTCAGCTTTTCACTTTGAGCTGCAGCGTTCTCAACCCGTTGACCCCTTTACTAACAATTACAAACTTAGGTAGGGCAGTTCTGATGATCAGGGATGATCATTTATGCGTAAAGCATGCTTTCGTTTGAGCGTCCCCTCACCGCTCACTTGCAGAGCTGCCCTCCATCTAGTGTCTGGTTATTGCCCAGGTAAACAGATGTGAGATTTCTGGCTCATGTCAAAACACAATAGCTGCTGTTAAGTAGGAGTGTGTGTGTCTGTGTGTGTGTTGGGGGGGACATCCGCCCGGTTCACAGCTCACACACTGCCTCCTTGTGGTGTTGAGGCCAGACTGCATTGTGCAGGTCTCCATTTTGATTACATTTTTTAAAAAATGAGGTGGAAACATAACAGTGCGTCTTCCTTTTCAGACAAAGCTTGTTAAGTTAAAAATTTTTTTTTTTTTTTATCTAATCATGTAAAAAAAACAACCAAAAGAAAACAGCACACGTAGATTTTTTTTCCAATCATTTTTAATTCAACCAACCTCAGATTTGACAACTGATGAAATTGGCCCGGGTGTGGGAATGTTCATCCGATGATGGCGGTGGCAGGAAATGAACAGAGAGATACCGTTGAGAGACCACTAGCACGGCTGAGTTAGTTACTTCTACGTGAGCTCAGAGACGGGTGGGGTCACTTCAGCGTTTTAGTGTGCGGGCCCTACTCTGGTCTGTGAGGACAGGAAAGAGGAGAGGAGGAGGAGGCAGAGAGCTGGGAATGTGAAGCACGGCCACGACGACGACACAAACAATCAGAGTAGGGTGTTTGACGAGCGGATGGAGGGATGAGTGAGCGATGGACGAGTGCGGATGACAGATGACGAGCGCTTTTGGCCTCAGGCCACCTCCTCCTCGCCCTCCTCCTCGAACTCCCCCTCCTCGGCCGTGGCGTCCTGGTACTGCTGGTACTCGGACACCAGGTCGTTCATGTTGCTCTCCGCCTCGGTGAACTCCATCTCGTCCATGCCCTCGCCGGTGTACCAGTGGAGGAAGGCCTTGCGGCGGAACATGGCGGTGAACTGCTCGGAGATGCGCTTGAACAGCTCCTGGATGGCCGTGCTGTTGCCGATGAAGGTGGCGGCCATCTTCAGCCCGCGCGGCGGGATGTCGCACACGGCCGTCTTGACGTTGTTGGGGATCCACTCCACGAAGTAGCTGCTGTTCTTGTTCTGCACGTTCAGCATCTGCTCGTCCACCTCCTTCATGGACATGCGGCCGCGGAAGACGGCGGCCACCGTCAGGTAGCGGCCGTGGCGCGGGTCGCAGGCCGCCATCATGTTCTTGGCGTCGAACATCTGCTGCGTGAGCTCGGGCACCGACAGCGCCCGGTACTGCTGGCTGCCCCGGCTGGTGAGCGGCGCGAAGCCCGGCATGAAGAAGTGCAGGCGGGGGAAGGGCACCATGTTGACGGCCAGCTTGCGCAGGTCGGCGTTGAGCTGGCCGGGGAAGCGCAGGCAGGTGGTCACCCCGCTCATGGTAGCGGACACCAGGTGGTTGAGGTCCCCGTAGGTGGGCGTGGTGAGCTTGAGGGTCCGGAAGCAGATGTCGTACAGGGCCTCGTTGTCGATGCAGTAGGTCTCGTCGGTGTTCTCCACCAGCTGGTGGACGGACAGGGTGGCGTTGTAGGGCTCCACCACCGTGTCCGACACCTTCGGGGAGACCATTACTTTTAGTTTAACGCACCCCAAAAGCCCCAAATTGACGGGATTCGACGGGACCACCGTACCTTAGGAGAGGGAACCACGCTGAAGGTGTTCATGATTCGGTCGGGGTACTCCTCCCGGATCTTGCTGATGAGCAGGGTCCCCATGCCGGAGCCGGTGCCGCCTCCCAGAGAGTGTGTGAGCTGGAAACCCTGAAGGCAGTCGCAGCTCTCAGCCTCTTTCCTCACCACATCCAGCACCGAGTCCACCAACTCTGCTCCCTCTGTGTAGTGACCCTTTGCCCAGTTGTTACCCGCTCCACTCTGACCTACAAAGATGAGGAGGGACAAACATAATCGTCTACACGCCTGTGTAATTTCCCAAACACGCAGGTCTGTGCGTATCTGATCCCTTACCAAAGACAAAGTTGTCTGGTCTGAAGATCTGTCCGAAGGGGCCGGAGCGCACAGAGTCCATAGTGCCCGGCTCCAGATCCACTAAAATGGCCCTCGGCACGTATTTTCCTCCTACGACACAATGGCATTGTCAAAGCCTCAGCTCGGATCAGAAAAAAAACGGAAGACTGGAAAATCTAAGCCGTGCTTTTTAAGTCCTGACCTGAGGCTTCGTTGTAGTAGACGTTGATCCTGTCCAGCTGCAGATCGCTGTCCCCGTGATACGTCCCTGTTGGGTCGATGCCATGTTCGTCACTGATCACCTCCCAGAACTAGACACAGGTTGAAGGGGGTAGTCAACCAAAACAGGTCAGTGTGGTGAATCGCATCCTTACAATGCCTCTTAACTACCACAATGCCTCTAACATGTTGGACGTTGACTGGTAAACCTGGAGCTGTAACTGTATATTCCCTCGTTTACATCCAGATATGAAGGCGACCCCCTGAGTTCCTCCCTCTACATCATTGATTTTATGGGGAAATGTTGCATGTCTGTAGGTGTCAGTGGGTTCATCTCCGGGGCCACACCTCTTTCCCACCGGGCCTCACGCACTGATGTGACGCGAGTTCATTCGTTCATTTTCTACTAATCCTCGTTTTTTTATTTCCCTAAATCCTTTTTCTAAAGACCCGGATCGTCCACGCTCGGTTCCACTCGATGCTCGGCTCCGTTTGGGTGTTTTTTTTTCTTTCTTTTTTCTCTCCCGTCTGGAGGGACATGGAGCCGGCTGCAGCCGGCGGGGATGTCTCGGCTCGCCACCGCCCCGTCGTGAGGGATGCTGCTGCCATCATCCCCTCCCCTTACACAACACACCCTGCATTCCGCCACGGTGACCTAAATACGAGTCCCCGCGGACGACGCAGCAGCCCCAAACGAACTTGAACTTGAGTTACGTAAAGCCGCGCGGCTCACAGGTACACACAACGACCCCCGGCTGTCCGTCCGCTTCCCCCCCACCTCCCCCTTCCCCTTACCTTTGCTCCAATCTGGTTGCCGCACTGGCCGGCCTGCAGGTGCACAATCTCGCGCATGTTTGTCTCTGCGGTTTTGGAGGCTGAAGACGGGGGGGGGGGGGCTTCTGGTTTCGGTTCTGCTTTTTTTTCCTGGGCCGCCCGCTGGAGTCGGCTGTCTCGGCTGAATGGCGGAGGACTTGTGGCTGCGTCGTAAGCTCCGTCTCGCCCCCCCTCCTTTCGCCTCCGTCTGCGGCTGCGCCGTTCCTCCCGGGTGCTGCAGCATGACGTCATCTCCATGGCAACGGGAACCGGGCCCGGCCAGAACGGTCGGAACAGCTGCCTGTGGTGGCAGGCCCGGGGAGAGGAGAGGGGAAACAGTCGCTTGGATCGTTATAAAGATACAATTGTTGATATAATGTGAGGCAATCTAAATCCTCCGGGTGGGTTTGGTCATCCCTGTTTCTCCAGACATCGACCCAGAACCCAAACCCCCTCATGTGTTGATGCCAGAACCAGAATAGGCCCCAAAAAGCCTCTCTAAGACCCTAAGCAAAATGTGTTTTTGAGGCCCTCTGTTGCTGCCCATAATTAATTACTGATCATTCATAGACCTACAAACTAATCTAATGTGTTGTAGTTAGATTCTGGAAGAACGACAAACGGTTTTCACCTAAAATCTGGCTAAATCAGCAGCCCTACTACCTCCATTATCCTATTATGAGCCAAGCATGCGGTTTTCAATCTGAAATGCTGCAAACTACAAGCAACTGATGTGGATTATGGGTTTTTTGCTTGTGTTACTGTGCGACGATGGTCGCGATTGCCTGAATGGGGACTCAAGAGTGAATGGATCCACAAAGAGACTTTGTTAAAGGTTCACTTTAGCAGGACATTGTTGCAATTTTTAAGGAAAACAAACAAAAACAAAAATATGCGGGGTGTATCAGATATAGAGTTTCAATAGTTACAATTTAGAATTGTTAAATATTCTCATTCTAATAAAGTAGCAAAGAAAAACAAGAAAGATACATTGTCACATTGTTGCCCATTCATTGTGAAATGTTAAGAGAGAAGAGCATGTATTTAAGAATGATTGTAAATTTCTATTACCATGGTATAGTTGAGTCACTTTTGAAATCCATCCATACACGCTTGGTTGCCAATGAACACAAAAAAGGCTGCACTCTCTCAGTGTAACAAGGGATTACGCCATAACTGTTGGACACTGGCGGTCTCGTCTTGTTTTTTTTTCACAACCCTCTGAGTTATGGTTGTGTTTATGCTGGCTAAGTGCCACACTGGCTCGAATAAAGACGTGAATCACTCCACCTGTACGACCATTATTGTGGAAAGTCAAAATGTATCTTGTAAGAAAAAAAGAAAAGAAAAAAGAAAAAAGGCCCTGGGGCAAGATGAAGTAGGCGTACCACTGTACAAAGCAGTTACCACATAAGCCACATCCAGGAGGTTAAGCCATTCTTTTTCTTTTTCTTCTTTTTTTTTGGTTGCTGAATTCCTTTAAAAAACATTAAGATTTCCATGGAAATTTCCACATAATTTCCCGTTTCAAAGACATTTAAAAGAGCATAAATTCACTGAACTTAGTTTTAGGTTTGGCTCTGAACATTCTTCTATTAGTCATTTTTCCATCATAGCAGCTTCTTTTTTTGTTTGTGTCGTTACCCATAGAGACAGGAAGCTTGAAAACAGAACCTGGAAGGAAATGAAGGTTGAAGCTGAGTAGGGATGTTCTGGAAATGGCAGGCATTCCTTTGCCCTCTTGTGTCAAATTCACTATAAGGGTGTGAATCAAATGTCAAGTTTCACATAGCGAAGACTTTAGAGGATAATGGGACATGTGTCAGAACAGAATTACTCTGTTTTGCTGTTCTTAGAATTGCCATTGTCTCTACTTGAACAGCCTCGTGACATCCCCCCAAATAAAATAATAAACTACATGGAGCAACCAAAGCAAAAACTGAACTGAAACGTGACTTATAGACCAACATCATCAGCCAGTGGGTACCTGTTTTTGGATGATGCGAGGCATATGCAAAGTTCTCACTATTTGGCTAAAAAGACAATAAAACATTGTTGATGTTTCTTCACTTCATGAATGAATATTAAAAACAGACATCATGTGTACTAATACATTCATGTAATTAGAATTAGCCAGAGTTTGGCTGAACATGCTAACATCCAATCTGGGATTCGTACCTTCCTGTTGTGAGGTGATGGTGCTGACAACCCCACCAGTGTGTAGCCCATCATGTGTCCATTGTAACTCAACCATCATGTTTAAACACATCTGACTAAAAACAGCGGGCCACTAACTGGCTTGTGCAGAGCTTTAGCTAAAAGCTGTCCAGGTGAGCCATTTTGTTGGTATAAGGTGTGTAAGAAATTGGAAGCATCCCAGAAATGCACAGCGGTGAGTTCAGGAATGCTTGTGGATGGTGTGTTTCATCGAACGGCTCAGAGTTTTACAGCTGATGAGCTGTTTTTATTCCATCCAAAAGGTTCACGTCCTGCAAAGTTCTCCTTGTATAAAAATGAGATTTTGCATTTCGGTTTATGGCAGTTGGTGTTTTTAGACAGGCTAACTTTGATGTTAATCATGAACCGCCACATATTGGTGAAACCCTGGAAGAATACTGGGAACAAGTGTTAAAATCTATAAAAAGTATGACTGTATATTGTTAGAGTGTGTACTGTTCATATCCCAGAGTATGCAAGGCCTTTAGCAAACTCTCTGTGTAGTAACAACATCTGTCCACAAGGGGGAGGTAGATGTCCGCTGTTGTTCAGATGGATAAACCTTGGTATTTTTTATGTTTAACGAAAAAAAAAAAACCATCTCCCAGGCTGATTTGCAAGTAAAATTTAGGGTGAAAACGGTGGTCAGCGTTTAACCCACTTATATCTGCTCTTTTATTCTTAATGCTCTTGACAGTGTTTGACTTTTTAAGAATTATGTTGCCTTCGTATGAAGCACACAGAGGATATTGTCTCTTTTTAGAAGTTGTCCCCATCCATTTTTTTTTCTAAATCCATCTGCAAACCCACAACTCCCCTGCTCACATCATCCATCAGTAAAATAATTGTCTCTCTTACTCAGTCTCGTTTCTTAATCACCACTGTGACCACTGTCAGTGAACCTGAGTATGTCCTCTCTCAGACTAAACTTTAAAAATGCCATTGGTCACAAAAAAAAAGCACACACACACATACACGCACAGACCCACACGTTTCCATTCTGCTGATAAATCTCACATTCATTTAAATATGTTCAGTGAACAGTTGACCATCAATTTGTCTTCTTATGCAGGCGCTGGCACATTCTAACCCATTAAGGAGAGTCATAAAACCATCTGGTTAAATCGGAAGGACGTTCAGCTCTGTGGAAGGACACACACACCCACACACACATTTACCACAGTACAGCAGATGCAAAAAAAATTGTAGTAAAAATGCCATTTAGTGGGGATCAAAGTAACAACTGGGAAAATTTCCAATAATGGCTCAATGTATATGTCTATAGAATGAAACTACCATTAAACAGCTTTTAACTTTTGAAATGACTGAATTAATAAATGTTACTTTAAAAGCAAACAAAAAAAATCAATGCATTATTAATTAACAAAGAAAAAAAATTGCATTAGCTGTTTCAGAGGATGGGTTTGAGTCAGCAAATCCAGCACAGGAATTTTAATCTATTTCCCAGAGATTTAGCATGACTTTTTTCCACACTGAGTTCACTACTACATGTTTTTGCCAGATGGGCGGCTGTCAGTTAAAGGTTTTGCACCAGTGCAGCAAAGAAAAGAGGGACAAGACATTTCGAACTGAATGTCTACGAGTTCAAAACATGGAAAAATGATATTTTGTTATGGCAAAAATCAAACGTGATGCCATGCAGTTAACACATGAAGCTTGGCCACTATAGATTTTGCACTGTAATCAAAATAAAGATTTGAACGAATACAATTGTGATAAGGAATCGATAACTGAAAAAAAGGGGAGCTTTTTGTCACCTCGATTGTAGCGTTCTCAGGGAAAAATGGGTTGTACATCAACTAATTCAAAGCAGAAGCCGATCAAAAACAGGTGTTCTACATTGGTCTAAAACCCCATTTATGCCCATCCATCCATTTTCAGCGCCACTTATTCGTAGTGGGGTCATGGACAGCTGGAGCATTTCCCAGCTGTCGTTGGAGGAGACGAAGGGTACTCCCCGAAAAGGCGGCCAGTGGGAGGACCTCAAGAGAACCCCCCCCCACACACACACACACCGGGAACACATTCAAAGTCCAAACAGAAAGGAACCCAGAAGGATTTGAGCCCTTGTGCTGTGAGGCAATAGCGCAAAGCATCACAAAGAGGCCCAAATTACACCACTGAGGAAACAGAGGTTGATATTTTTTTTAAAGATGCTTCATTATCTCATCACAGAACATAATTCAAACTCCCTTCTTTGTGTTGTAATACAACCTTTAGCTGAGGTCATGTGTAAATTGGACTTGGAAGATTTAGCCCATAGAGGAGTAATGATCAGGCCACTACAGAGTGCAGAAAGGGATTTAATTGGCTTGTCTTAGCGGCTGTGTCTGTGTTTAGAAGGTGGTTTAAACGTGTTTTTTTCTTTTGGTGTTAAAAAAGAACTGCAGTGCTTTTTGACATGGGGCAGAGACTTGTTTGTATTTCCGTAAAAAGCCCGATTTTAGCAATATTTCCATTTTGGGCTTTATTCAACAAACCGTGACAAGGACTTTCTTTCCCCGAGCGCAAAAATACCAATTCAGTGACTAAATAATAAAGCAGGGAGTGGATTTAAAGCCAGTCATGACATCCTGTGAAGAGGTGGGAGGATCAGGCAGAGGCAGAAGGCCTTTAGACGGATTATGACAGAAACACGCAGAAAAGAGACCCTTGTAAAAAAGAAAGACCAAGAGACGTGACAATCTCAGACAATTAGAACTCCCACACATAACCTGCATACTGTGTGTTTATATTTTATGGTGGCCATAAGCATTTAAGACTTTCTGATGGGCTGTGGACTGAAATAATTCACATCTCATCCATGGTGTGTGGTAGTTTCCTTTATAGCTGATAGGTTACATTTGACAGAGAGCTCTCCTTAATTACCCCCCCAGGAAGGGAGCTATAGTTGTGTTCTTTTTTATTATCTGGATTTCAACCTGAGTAATGATGACCCACAGATTCTGTGGCGTGCTTGTACTTGTAATCCCACAGTTTGAAAACTTTCAAAACCATTCAGCCATTGCCCCCTTTGCTTC